CATTTCAAGGAGGCAGAAGGGGATGGCGTGGAAATTGAACAGCCTCATCGGGAAATCAAACTTATCTGCAACTGCATTTTGAAACTGCCAAAAATACCTTTTGAGGAGAATGCAACATTCTACGAAGGGAGAAGCTAAATGTCATTGAATAATGCAATTGCTCGTAAGAAAAACCCTGAGATTTAAGTATTCTGAAAACCAGTTGTTTGAGTTCAAGATGGCATGGGTTCATAAGGGGCAAATGTAGCGTTCATAGGTCAAGGCTAAAAAATCGATTAATGAAGTTTCCTCTGCCAACATCGAAGCGACCCTTTATTCAAGTGGAAAAGATATAATATTCGCAAAATGCCGAGGTGAATTTTCAATTGAAATTGGAATCTCACTGTTTGAAATTGAGAAAAGGAGTGGATGCAATCGTTATTCAGACATGTCCATCAAAGAGTTTGACGTCACCTTGACATGGAAAATGCACGATTGTGACAACAATGCTTTTAAAGACTCTAAAAAAGCTTTACTTTCGTCAATCAAGTAATTTAAAAAAGGAAATTGTCATATTTACTTGTGGGAAGGCCATGACAGGCTCTCTGTCTCTCTGTGTTTTACCTAATAAAGATTTTTTTATGCCAAACAAAACATGATCTCAGGGGTAGCGCTATCTGTCTTACTTCAAACAGCAGAGATCATTTGGTTATCAACAAAACCCAGGATTGGAAAACCTTTTTCTATTTCACTTCTACTTTATCGTGATCATAAATTTAATTATCAACATAATTATCAAGCCATCACTTGAAAAAATATTAAAGAACATTTGACGGTTACTGATTAATTGTGTAATATGTCTAAAAAATAAGAATTCCTTTTATTTTTTTCATATTGTAATATGAGGGCTAATGATAACTATCAAAACGCCTGTCATTTGAAATAAATAAATAAATATGGAAATATACTCTTGGTGATTTATTTTAGCCTACGGTATTAAATATTAAACTTTAGAAAATTTCAAACGACGATGAAGTGGAAAATAAATTAGAATTGATATGAATTTTCCGAATTACTATGACATTAAAATAGGAGAAAAATCACGCCAAAAGTAATAAAAGGATATCCCCAATCGATGAGTACTCTTGCGGCTTTGCGAAGGAGATTGCTCTCAGAGAAGATGAACAAGGAGCGTCCACCACGCGCGTTGCCCCCGTCGCTGTCCACTCTCCCCCTGAAAACTGATTCGCGCGCCTTGAGTTGAGGCCTTTCTTTCTCAATCTCCGCGACAGCGGCATTGAAGAACGTGAATTTTCTCACATCGCACTCGGCATTACCCTCGCTATGGTTGCCGCTTTGATGGAATCTCTGAATTGTGTGGAATGTCCCCCTCACTGCCCGATAATTCTCACCGCTAAGATCCATCAAGTAGAAGATTGGTAAAGGAATAAGCCGGATTCAAGAGATTGCCACATTGCGTTACACTTCAAGCGCAGCGATGGTGGAGGTGGTGATTGCTCGTTAAAAGTGAGAGGAGAAAACCATGGAAAGGTGGAGTTAATCAGCTCATTTATGATTGGTTGCCGTGATGTGGATATGTGTGCCGCGCCTCCTAAGCGTATAAGCTCCCAAGCGTGCTACTTGTCGACGCGCCATTTCATTTACATTTTGATGAGTTGCTCAGGCGAATAGACTTCCTCCTTTTCCGGGCTAGAAGGGGATTACCATCTATTTATCAGGCCTGGTCAATTATTAATTGATGTGAGTAGATAGTCTACCGTCTAAAGACATCAATAAAACAACAGAATCATGCAGAAAACAGATTGCCCCACTTGTTCAATATTGCTTATATAAATATTGCATGATTTAAAATTAAACGACATTTTAACTTAGTTTTTCTGAAAGCTTATTGAAAAAAGTTTAGTTTGCATAGAGTAGTGAAAAACAAAAATCTTTTTTATTATTATTGCTTAAGAAAAGGTAGAGAATCTAGAGTGTTGTGTCCACTTGTTAGCACAATACAAACTCCCATTCTGTTCGAGCAAAGACCAGCCAAGTGAAATTCGTCACGTGGTACACCCTGGGCAACGTATACGCGCGATAGACTTACCTCCAGGTGGTGCACCCTGGACAACGTATACTCAAACGGCACGTGGTGCACCCTGGGCAACGTATACTCATACGGCTCCACGTGGTGCACCCTGGGCAACGTTTACTCATACGGCTCCACGTGGTGCACCCTGGGCAACGTATACTCATAAGGCATAAATCTATTAACCGGCAGTTGACTTCAAACTACCATCACCCCACTGTATGTCATATTCGTCTACTTCCACTTCAAACTACCATCACCCCACTGTATGTCATATTCGAAACTTCAAACTACCATCACCCCACTGTATGTCATATTCGACATCCTTCAAACTACCATCACCCCACTGTATGTCATATTCGACCTCTCAAACTACCATCACCTCACTCTATGCCATATTCGAATATAATATGTCAAAAAGTCTATTAATCGGCAGTTGACTTCTGACTTTAAACTACCATTAAATTCGACCACTTCAACAGTACTCATCTTACCTTTTCTCTGACTTCGCGCCTGTCTGTCTGTCTCTTTTACATCTGTGAACCACTCTACTGTTCCCCTTCACGAATTCTTCCCACTTTGATATTCCTCCTTCTCTCTGTGAAGCAAGAAATCAGCTAAAGGGTTAATGATAACTATCAATGCGCCTGACATTTGAAATAAATAAATAAACATTTGGTAAGGAGTGGGAGGAGGGGGAAGGGGGGTATTCCACTACAATGTGTCGTTAGTAAATGTCCGAGTAAGGCGAAATTTATGGGGAGTGATCTTTAGGGGTCTGGTTCTGTTAAATAAGTAGACCATTGCTGTGGAGTCACCACTATCTATAAACAAAATAATAACTCGAATTGCAGAGGAGAGTTCCTTTTTATTAAAGCTCTTAAGAAACCTGCATCCAACTTTCCCTTGGCATTTAAAACCCATTTTGACTCAATGATGCGAAGGAACACAAAAAATATTTACAAGTGCGCGCTCCAAGCGATTTAATGAAAAAAAATGATTGTAGTGAAACTTATAAAAAACATCACCACAAAAGCAATCAAGATATCCTCTGCGAGCTCAAAAGAGATAAATCTCCAGAGTATTATTTGAGCAAACCCTTAACCCCAAAGCCCTGCTGTATATCACATCCAAATGGAAAGAATACGAGCGAAACTAGGAGGTTTAAGAGGGTGTGTGGGGTGAGGGTGCGAATATGGAATATATGGGAGCACTAAACATCAGCGTAGATGGGAGGGACGCTACAAACCATGATTATTTGCTAAATGAAATTGAACACATTTTTTAAACTACGTGAATTTTAAAATTTAAAATTACTGACCACGGTGTTTCATACGCGCCCACATGTGAACTGACTTCTAAGAAATGAATTTTGACTAAAATAGTGTTAGCCCCTGGAATGAAATAAATGCAGCTTTATTGAAAGACTAAGTCCCCATCTATTAGCTTAAAAGCCATGGAGACAACTGGCCCAAGGCAATTTTTAAATCAAGTCAGGAGGTAATAGTAGTGCATAAGACCTACTCAATTTAATCGCACATTTTACTAAGGAGATAAAAGTAGTCAAACACGACGCGCACACACACACAAAGTTTCCTTCAAACACAAACAACAAGCAAATACGTCCGCGCACGTGCCCCACACGCCCGCAAGCGTCCATCTCACTACATCTAAAATCACTGCCAAAAGGGAGGGAGGGCGGTGGGGGGGGGGGGGGGGGGGGGGGGGGGGGGTGGAGAAAAGGGCGTTCTTTCTTGTACGCGTGCTATCCTGCTACCACTTTTCTGTTTCTGCACACGTATAGAAGACAGACCACCACTATTACACCAAGTATGAGTGATTCACACATAAAATTAAGTAGCACATACATGGTAAAAATGACTCATCACATGGTCATAAAAATGAGGCTAGACTCACCGTGCGACCGCCTCCAATAGCTCTCTATCATGCTGTCCAGGCACCCACCATTCTGGGAGATCAGAAGATCTTTGACACAACACCAACCTCTCCTCCAGATGTTCATGCGTGAGAATGACATTCCTAATGCGGTTGAGGAGTTTAATCCTCGACAGCGTCCGTGTGGCCCGCTCCTCGGAGATAGGAGCCACAGGGATCACCTCATTTACCGCACAGGATCCGAACGTCGTGGTGGTGGGTTGAGAAGCCACTGGCAATGGAGTACCTGCAAGTCAGAGACAGAGAATTTTGTAAGCAGTTTTTCGCCTCCCATTAAAACACCCTAATTTTACAAGAGCGCACGCTACACATGA